CCCTGAAAAAAAAAATTCAATTAGGATTAGAGTTCACTTTGGAAATAAATGAATCAATTAAAATACATATAAATGAGTAATTTTATCGGGCATCAAATTCATCACCAAAAATTTTCATGGAAATGAAGAAGTATTTCAGATGAAATATTTTTGAATCGATTTTCAAAATAAATAAAACTTCAATTGAATGATTTGTCTTATATCAATGAGATGATAACAACTGATATTTTTTACATATGTACAATAGTTATTATCTACAAGATATATTTTTCGTTACATTAAAACAAATATCAATCCTCAATAATTGTTAAATTGGTAACTAAAATACAATCAAAATATTTTTCTTTTAGCTAAATATTATTATAAATAAAAATAAAATTATCGCAGTTTTTATGTAGTGAAGTAAGCTGAAATTTAATTAATGACTTTTGGAGAAATATACTATTTTAAATAGATCGAATACAAAAAAAAATATTTTATCCGTGTTTTTGTGAGAGAGGTCATATCATTCACAGACCCCATCAGACTCGTAAATCTTGAGAGCCGCTTTTTAACGGCGAAGTTGTTACAGGTCCTCCGCTAACAAACCCGATATCCTGGAGGACTGTTACCAAAAGGAAGAAGACGAAGATTCGAAGGCCGCATTGACCTTGGGCACGCCCTGCCCTTCTCGGATATTTCTTTTATTATATCTCGTTTTATTTTAGAATTCGTCTTAGATAACTGCATTCGCTCGATAATACTCGATGATGAAGCCGTTTCATTTTATTTAATCCTTTTTTGTTTTTTGAGACGATATTATTTTTTAAATATGGCCCAATATCAAATTAAATAATTAAAAACATTTCCTGAAAATAATCAATTGTAAGTAAGTACACTAATAAATAATATAATCACTGATGTAAAATATAATCCCAGAGATAATTTCTAATTGAGTAAAAGTAATCAAATAACCAAAAAAATAGTAATTAATAATATATTTTTTTTTAAAAAATCAATCATATGTACAACAAGCATTATAGTTCAATTTTAAATAAGAAAAATTCCCCATGCCTGTCATGTCAATATTTCATGTATTGCCATCACATTTGCTGATTGTTAACAATAACTTGACAGGCATCAAGTTTTTTTTTTATAGACAAAAAAAAAGTAAGAAAAATAGTTTGCTGAATAAAAACATAGAAAAGTACCGCATTTTAATATCGTTATATTATATTTATGATTTTCACCTTTTATTGGATTACTTATTTTTCTTATATATATATATATATATATATATATATATATATATATATATATATATATATATATATATATATATGGAATGTAATAATGTTATTTTCAAACAGCTAATTAAGTAATAATCAACAAACTATGACCCTTTTTTACATTACAAAAAAAAAAAAACAATAAAATTAAGTTATATCACTCCGACTGCTCCAACACTTACTAGACAAACGCTCCAAACTTTCTATTAATTACAAAAGACTTATCTACATAACTATAATAAGACCTATATGGACATACGGAGTTGAGCTTTGGGGCTCCACCAAACCATCGAATTCCTATCGTATCCAATCCTTACAATCCAAAATCCACCGTAAAATCCTTAATGCTCCATACTTTGTCACAAATAAAACCATTCATAAAGACCTTAATGTACCATATGTCGCTGATTTATTTCGAGCCAGATATCTATCCTTTCATGATAAACTTCAGTCCCATCCAAATCCGCTTGTTTCCACTCTTGCTTCTTCCTCGATCCCTGATAATCCTCCTAGGCGTCTGAAAAGGAGATGGCCTCGTGATCTTCTTATTTAAAATTATTTAGAGAGTGCTACCACTGGGTAGTATCTCTTCAGGCCTGTACATGCCGTTATTTATAATTTGCGCCTAGTTACTAGTTGTATTTGTATGCAGTTGTAAATTCCATTAAATAAAAAAAAAATTATATCACATCTTTATATCCGTGGCGCCAGTAAAAATTGTTTTACGTGCAATTTTTTATATAGAGATCACCAGAAAGAAAAATATTCTTCCTTTGTTTGCTGTGTTATGCGGCTATTACGGAGATGAACATTATTCCTTTTTGAATTATGAGTTGAAACTCGAAAATTGAACTTGCAACTGTGAAAATTCTAAATTTTCAGTTACGTTTTTCCATAAATTTGATTTTGTATGTAACACATCTACATATCTACCATATACGATATAATTTTTTTTTCTACCCTATTTTTAAAAATATACATAATGTTTTGTGTAAGGCTAAATCTTCTTTTTGTTAGTCAAACCTTTGTGTTATTTTTATTATTTTCTTAATATGCAGATAAACATTTTATATAGAAACGCACTTTTTTTGGAATTGAAGTACCTTATAAAACATTATGCATCAGTAGTGAAAATGGTACCCAGTGATCGAAACGTTACAGATAAGGATGTGTGACATAAGCAAACAAATATTTTTTGTTGTTAATAAAGAATTTTATTGTTTTTGTATCTTTTTTGGGATGAAAAAAAGGTTCTAATTTGTTGTTTATAAATTAAATTTTATAAATAAATTATTTTTATTTTCAATTATGAAAATATAATGTTTATCGACAATTCAAAATTATTCTGGTTTATTGAACTATTTTTACAACTATAAAATATCAGACTCTTTCACTCTTATAAAAGGTTAAACTATATCGAATTATTTTATTACTTATATTATTATAAATGTTTTCAATTCTTATTCCTGTTATTATCAGTTGTTTTTAATACAAGAAACCAGTAGGATAAGAAAACTAAACTTTGATAAATTCTTCTGTCACGAAGTTAATTAACTTTAGCTGATATAGTTCAAAACTTTATAAAAAGAAAAAGTTGTATGATGGGTTTTAAGTAATCCCATGTGGGATATGTTGAAACGTCCAGAGTGAGTGGAAAGTTGCTCTGAACGCGAGCTCTGAATTCGGACCAATCATTCCTGTATTTTGACGAAATATCGCTGCATGTGTCAACTATTTTTTTTTTTTTAAAGATACATTTATTTATGTTTTCCTCTTTGATTTTTTTATAAATTCAATTAATTAAAAAAATTATGCATTAGAATATATGTCATATTGAAAGGTAGTTATTTCATTTATAATTATATATATTTGGAGAGTTTTATGAGTGGCTTAATATCAAAAACGGACATACGTCGATTTTAAAAAGTTAAGAAAAATCCAATTTTCTGTAACATAGCTTCAATTTACACCAATTATAGTGGTTTTTTTTATGATTTAACTTGAACATTCTTAAATAAAATCACCATAAACAGATTGAGTTGAACCTATAAAACAAAAATTGACTTTATCTCCGTTTTCTGAAATATCCGTTTTTTATATTAAATAGCGCATATAAATATATGTATAAATTTAAACTGAAAGATGTCTAAGTTTATTTTTTAATGTTTATTTATTTTATTTTCCCATCACTATTGATTGCTAACATATACTATGTTTCTGTAACAGATACATAATATATATATATATATATGTATATATTCCATCTTAAATTAATTAAAATCCATTAGAATTTATTTTTTTAATAGATTTTGAATTATATCAGTTACCATAAATTAATTTAGTGAAAGTTCACTTTTCTAGTTGTCCTTATTCCCAATGTTGGAAATGTCTCTGATATAAATAATAAAATAATTATTTTTCTAAGGTTAAGGCAAATATACTTCCATTTTTCTTCAGTCCTTTTAATGCATCTATTATATCTGACGTTTCGGGACCATTTTCCCATCCTCAGAGTATTACTTATGTTGACTGAAATTATACATATTTGAAATGAACAACTCTTACATTGTTAATCTACTCTATCTGTTGTATAATTATCTACCTTGGTTTTTGATGTGGCACCAGTTCTCAAAAATTCAATAATTGTCATATTTATTTATTTTTTGACAACTGGTGCCACATCACAAAAGCAAGATAGATAATTATATAACAGATAGAGTATATTAACAATGTAAGAATAGTTCATTTCAAATATGAATAATTTCAGTAAACATAAGGAATACTCTGAGGATGGGAAAATTGTCCCGAAACGTCAGATATAATAGATGTATTTAAGTGGGCTGAAGAAAAATGGAAGTATATTTGCCTTAACACTAGAAAAAAAATATAAACAGAAGCTTCCTAAAAAAAGGAAAATAAGAACAAAAATAATTATTATGACCAGTTATAATAAGGTTCCCTATCATTATTTATTTTGTTTCTTAGTTTTCTTAATAAAAAAAATCTTTAAAAATTAAGTCGATGAGGCCTTATTAGTTTTTAAACTGTTTCTAATGTTTAGGACTATTTCTCAGACTACTCTACAATTCGTATCATCAATTAAACTGGAAATTGTACCTTACAAAGTACATTTATTTTAAAGGAGTTCTGTATGAACGATAATTTTAAATATATATAATTTTAAATAAGTATTTTAAATATAAACCTTGACGCCAAACGCAAAGTTTCGATATAACTCCGACAGTGACCGGAATCCATTGTAAATTCCGTAGTTTCGAAAGATCTTTCCCAGAACTGTTGTGCTCTGATAAAAAGTCGGGAAGGAAACTCTATTGTTTTGAAACAATAAACGGAATCAATTTTCTTTACATGGTTTCGTTTTAACACTGCCTTTGCAACAAATCTTGATAAATTTCGATTTTTGTAACAAAATAAAAGATAAAAATAAGGTAAGATAAGACATGACAAAATGTATACTGCCAAGTATTTGTCATTCAAAAAGTCATCAAGAATTTTCGAACATGTAGTATTTTCTCAAACAAATTTTAAGTAATCCATGTTTTTTTTTTAAATTTTATTTTTGTCTTTGATTACATTTAATGACTTTTTGAAGTAAATAATTAAGTAATTTACAATATTTATTACCAATGTAATTTTAACATATATTGTGAGAGTTTTAATTAATTAAATGACCAATTAAATTAAAACTAATTAAATATTAATTGGTTTTAGGACGGGAGCTAAGCAGCAGCAGCCAGCAACAGCAGACTCCAGTAGACTTTGACTGCCCAGAGGAGTTCGGTTATTACGCGCACCCTACCGATTGCACTCAGTACTATGTTTGTGTATTTGGTGGAGCACTTTTGGAATCATGTACTGGTGGACTCATGTACAGGTGAGAAAAATTATATAGAAAATGGTATTATATTTTATTTATTTATTGACATTTAAAAATTTATTAAATAAATACAGCAAGTAGATATGAGCAAATCAAGAGTAACGACATGAACAGACTTGTGGAGACACTACCCAATGATAGCACTCTCTAAATAGTTCTATGTAAGAAGATTACTAGGCCATCTTATTTTCAGAAGCCTAAGAGTGTTATCACGAATTAAGGAAGAAGTAAAGGTTGAAGCAAGTGGATTCGGATGGGACTGGATAAATTTGTCATGAAAGGATATATATGTTTCTTGGGTTAAATCAGCGATACATGAAACAGTAAGATATTTATGAATGGGTTTACTTGTGTCAAAATATGGAGCATTAAAGATTTTACTAAGAATTTTGAATGGTAAGGATTGGATACGATAGGAATTCGATGGGTTGGTTGAGCCCCAAAGCTCAACTCTGTATGTCCATATATGTCTTATTATAGTTATGTAAATGAGTCTTTTATAATTAATTTAAAGTTGAGATCGTTGGTATAGTAAATTTGGGAGCAGCCGAAAACGTCACGTAGTTTCTTATCGTCTTGTATACGGATTCCAAGTAAGACGTTTGTCCAGTTGGAGTCCAAGCGTATTTGTTGAATACACCCTTATTATAAATAAGTATTTTTTTCCAAAGTGAATCCTAATCATTATTGATTAACTTCCAGGAATCGCAAAAAATGTATTTTCTGTTTCAAATATAGTATCAAAACCAATATTGAAGAAAAAATTAAGAGATTCTTTATTTGTTGCACATACAAATTAATCCTAAAAAGGAAAATATTGATGAGCTATTTCACGCCAGTTTCCGAATCTTCAAGTATTTCTAGTATTGTATCACTCATCTTCAGTTGTTTCCTTGTGCGTGAATACTGCTGGTATTCAACCAGTACATGGGTGACTGTCCTAGGGGCACCACACTCACCACAGGTAGGTGCTTCCAGAGCAGCGGAAACGATGGCCAAGGGAGAATTCATAATGTCCGATCTTGAGGCGGCATAGTATTATTTCTTCTCATCTTGATCTTCTGCAGCTAGTGCTCCATTGTGAGCTGTTTTCTTTTACTGGGAGTCAGGGACACCAAGAAACCTCCTTCCGGGCCCCCTGCCGCCAGTAATTTTGAAGGGCAGCTCCTTTAGACCTCATTCCACTGGATTACCAGACGAATTTGAACTTCCTTACCCAATGTTCCTTAATTTATGATTTTTGTTTGGCTGTTGTCACAAATTCGGACTGTCCGAGAAGCACGGACAGATCTACGGGAGGGGGAGGAGAGGAGGAGGAAATTTGGGGCTGAAGCCTCCCCCAAAATGGTAAAATATAACGATGTTTTATGGAAAAAAATATTAAAAATTATCCATTAAAGTATTATTGTTCGTGTAATTACATTTTAAAGGACTTTAGAAATCACTTAAACTAAACACCTTTTTATATAGGTAGTTAGTTTCTTTCTTTTTTTCCTAAGTAATTATCGTTATTTTTATGAAAAAAAATTTTTGGGCTGAGGCCCTCCCTCCTCCCCCCAAATAAAATGCTGGGGTCTGCTAGTGCCGAGAAGCAATTTCTGCCTTTTATAATGGTAAGGAACCCGAATGAAAATTAAATTACAACTTTTTTTTTCTTTCAATTTCCCAAATAATGTTCAAAATTTCAGCTATTGAAGATAACTGGGTGCTTGATTCATTAGTTTCTTTTACGAAGGAATGCTAAACTTATATCGATTTAAAAAACAAAAAAACAATTAGAGTTCACTTAGGAAATAAGCGACTCAAACACTTGTAAAACAAATAATAAATCGACACGGACCAACAAAAAAACAAAATTTCCTCAAAAACAAAATCCAAACAATGTTGAATTTATTGAAAATCAAACTTAAAATTTTATACAACGCAGTTGTGTCCAAGGCCTACGTATCTTATGATTTTTTTTATTTTTACTTAAAGTCATAGATAACCGGTTATATATATATATATATATATATATATATATATATATATATTTAATATATTCAGAAAGCGATTGGGAAACGGATCCGTGAATATTTAAATGAGGGATATTTTACACTTGCGATAAAATACAGTTGCATGGGGTAAGATCCCAAATGTTCCATGAGATCAAACGTTCGTTTCGTGTATTTTAATTCATTATACATTACATAGATACGGGCTCACGCACATGATATAGATGTATTGACGACGAAAATATGAGACGTTGAACAAAACTGGTTTAGAGGTAGTAGTTCCACCAGCTGACAACGTAGTAAGGAACTGGTTTATATAAATTTTTTTATAACTTTTTTTTTTTTTGAGTGAACTACGGATTATTTGATTAAATATCGGAAATCGATTAAATAATGTGATGTAACTTTCTAACTGCTAATTAATATTCCCAAAGAAACAAACCTATAATGAGTGGTCAATTAATATTAATTTATGATATTATATTATATTAATAGAATAATACATTATACTGTATTAATATTGTTATTTAATTGAAAATACGGGTTATTAAAGTTGTATCTATCTTTCTTTTATCTTTGCAGAAAAGCAACCTATTATCGGATTATTAAGACCCCATATAAAAATACAAACAAATACAATTCTTAATATACCATCAAACCAGGTTGGATCAGTATTTGTGGTAATCTGCGTTTTTACCCATTCATAGGATTAAAAAAATCTAGTTTTTATACATCATCTTCCTTAGAGTGTGAATAAAAGAAAAATTCATCTTTTCTGCTAAGTTGAATTTTTGAGTGTTTTATTTTGGTTTTGTTTTTAAATGGAACGAAGTTGACAAGTCGTTTAGAAAATTGTTTACCCCTTTAAAAAAAAAAAACCCATTAAAAACTGGTAAATTTTAAGGTGTCACCATCAAACAGAAGAGGAAGCCAGAATAAAAATAAAACCTGTTATGTAACCTTATTTAAGCGCTGTTATCTCTTAAGCAGCATGGTAAACCAATTTAACGGTACTTACGTATTTATGTGTGTGTGTATACCAAGTTTAGGAAGGTATTTATTTTTCTACAAACTAACAAAGCATCTTATTTATTTTTTTTTTTTTTCATTAAATCACTAATAGTAATAAATAGGTACTTCCATCTTAAGAACAATAAGTAAAAAAAAAAATCAACCCGAAATTTTTTTTTAATCAAACAGGAAAATAGTTGAGGAAGCCATCTGCTAATTTTCTCTAACAGCTTTCTTTACAATTCCTCGTGTCCACTTTCAAACCTCTAAGTCCACACATTTATGTGGTTTTGTGGTCAGGCTTGAAATCGAATTTTCGACCGCACTTCAGGAATAAACTTACATCTTGGTAGAAAAACAAATTAATTATTTAATACTTTCATTTCCGAATCAACCCGTGTCCATCTATTAGCTAATAAAGACATTATTAATTAGCAATCTTAAGATTTAATTAAGAAATCAAAACGAAAAGATATTTGGAATATTTTTGTAGTATCCCTTCAAGGACTAAGAAAACATCATTTCACATGTCACAGGATTTCTTTTTTTCTTCCTCAATATACCCCCATAAACAAAAAGAGGATCAGCCTCATCACACCCTCTTCCTCCCTCCCAAAAATTAAATCCTGGATCCATTACTTGTCCATCAAAGGGAGTATGATCCCAAGCTATCTTACTAACAATTGTAATAAATATGCGACCTGATGATACGTTCTATTATAATATATGTATGTAATTTTTCATTTTATCCCTTATTTTGATTAATTCGTAACATCATATAAAATTTTCATTTTCATTCTAAAATCAAAAGGCATCTTATCAACGAAATATCGTTTTATTTATTTTTGACAATTATTAATGGACTCAGCAGAAATTCGGCATTTGTGAAATTCATAAGCCAAACACTGGATTAGGTAAATCAACATTTTGTTCAACTTAATAAAAACAAGTTTTTCAATAATATACTTTAGCCGATGTCGTGTTTAGACCATTTGAGGCCAAGTACGAACATATTTTTGAGCACGTTAAAAATGGAATAAAAAACAGAATTCGTTTTAAACGATAAAGTAAAAAAAAATATACATTTTTTTAAAAATACATGGGCCGCTTTTTCCCAGGCAAGCCAATGTCTACAAAAACTGTTGATAATATTAGGACTAACATCCCAAATTATCAAAACTGTTTTAAAGCTAAAATCAATTTTTGTTTTACTTTTCCTTTGCTATATATGATAAATATATTACGGGAAAGTATATACATGTAATTTACAGTGACAAAAAGTAATGATTATTAATTTTTGTAGAGTTAATAATTTCTAATATTATATTATTGAATAAGAAATAAATTTTTCTACGGAAAAAAATTAAATTGACAGATAAACTAAATGGAAACGTTTAAAATTTACCTTCAGCTTGACATTAAAGAAAACAAATAGTGCACAGTATTTTTTTTTTATTATAGCGTTTGGTTATATTTATAGTTAAAGTAATATTCTTAGTTTGTCACGTTATTTAAAAGCCATATTTACTGTAAATAGGATTTTAAGTGAGAGTGTTGTCGTGAGGGCACCGAACCAGATTTTTTTTTCAATTTATCAGACATTATTTTCAAAAGGTTTAAAGTTGGTATTGCTCTTGGCTCCTAAAGGGTTCAGAATACTACGGCTCATTGATGAAATATTAACTTTTAATAATTTTACTAAATGTTAAGAGAAAAATGAGAAGTAAACTTATTGATGCTATAAAACTATTTTAATAATGACCCTTTTCTTTATAGCCATGAGTTGCAGACATGCGACTGGCCTAGGAACGTAGGATGCGCACCGGGCCAGCAACAAGCGCTCCAACAGCAAGAGATCGGCCAGAACTCTAGGCAACAGCTGAGGCAAGATGCCAGGCAACAAGAGCTCAGGCAGGAACTGGCACGTCACGAACTGAGGCAACAGGAAGCTAGGCATGACCTGAGGCAACAGGATGCTAGGCAAGAACTGAGGCAACAAGAGGCAAGGCAAGAACTGAGGCAACAAGAAGCTAGGCAAGAACTCAGGCAACAAGAGGCCAGGCAAGAGCTTAGGCAACAAGAGGCAAGGGAAGACCTAAGGCAACAAGAACTCAGGCAGGACCCGCGCCACGAACTCAGGCCAGAGTACAGGCAAGTACAGGAAGCCTTGAGGCAGCCAAAACAGCAACAGCAGATACTGCAGCAGGTCGTGGACAACAGGGGCAGGCAGCGAGCGCAAATCACCGTACCAAAGGTAATCAATCTTCTTTCAATTTTAGCGGTAGAAATGAGTTTTTATCTAGTTTGTTAAAAATATATTAATTAAATCGACTGTTCTAATATTGAAACAAGTTCTTAGGTATCATCCGTAAGTACCGCTAACTAGGGCAGGAAGGACGTGTTACGGTCCAGATTGTTTGCTCATTCAAGCAAATATTGACATGCATATATTTTAATTTCGCCTAACAAAAATGAATTCCCAAAAAGAGAAACAGTATCAGCATCCCATTTTAAGTTTTTCGAGATTTTCATTCTATAGCTTGATGCTACGGTATCACTTGAAATTAAATTTTGTGTTTTTAAAATTTCCTTTTGTATATATATAAGGCATTAAAAAAATAAAAGAATAAGATACAATTTGCCGAAGGTTCTAGCTCTTTATTCTGTGAGGGACAATAAAGAAACATATGATGTGTTCCACAAAAATTGGACAAAGCACAAAAATTGGATAACGTAACACGAGGTAAAGAAAAAGCCAAGACATACAAGAAATTTTGTCTTCTTTTTTTTTCTATATGGGGAGTATATGTAAATTATTTAAAGGTTGACAATAAGAAACTTCCATTATAATTAGATCTTTTATTTCATCTCATCTAGCTAACTCGGTATTTTATCCCATCCTCAGAGTTATTTTTCATAACAATCTGATTTTTTTTATATGTGTGCTCCATTTGCCATAGCATCAATGTCATAATTTTAATGATTAATTTGTTTCATGGGACTACATATTACCAAACCAACAATTGGACAGCTTACCACAAATATCAAGAATTGAAATTGTAATGGAAAATAGCTAGGATGGGATAAAATCCCGAAATGTTAGATGAGGTAATTCTTAAGACTTTTTCCCCAAAGAAAGTTGTTTGGAAACGAATAGAAACTTTATAACGAACTAACCACGATAATTTTCAAGACAAGCGATGTGGTTAAATGTATTATTTTTGCCCGGCCCACGCACAACTTACAACGTGAAAAGAATAATATAGAAATTTAAGATAACGGACAGATTGATAATTAACTTCGATTTCAAAATATAATTTTAACGCCTTGATTAAAATTCATTTATTCTTTGTTTTCTTCCAAATGCGTTAGTTCAATACGCAGAAAGAATCTTCATAGAAGAAGATCTCTTAGTATTCTTTTGCCTAAAACGTAATCTATAAAACAGAGATTGCTAGAGCGATTTCCCAGATTGAGCTAGTTGACCTGCTGCCTAAGCAGAGAGGTACCACGTTCTGCATTAAACTCCTGCAACAGTTGCACCATTGCCTTGCAACTCCATACAACGCCCTCAGAATAGGTATTAGGTATTAGGTATTTACAAAAGCGACCTTTACTCCAGTCGGCTTTTACATGTCTATTAAGTAGAAAATATACCGATTATTTTTCATAACTATAATACATTAAGAAAATCAATATAAGCCAAGATAATTACGAGTTTATGAGTTAATATTTTTCAATATTACACATCGCTGAATTCAAAGTCGCACTAAGTTCAAAGTTTTGTTGAATGAAAATGTGAGTATACATTTATACTTTGTGGAGATGGAATGGGAAGGCTAAAATTATCAAAGTAGGTACAATATTCCAAATATATTAAAAGTTCGAAAAAACTAAAAATGCTGTTTTCTGAAATTAGAAAACCTAATTTAAGGAAAACTCTTGAATTTAATATAGCTTAAATATTTCTTTTTTTTTTTGAGAAATATTACAATCCGTCTCAATTAAGAACATTTATATTGCAAAGCATTATTCTTTTCTTTCCCCTAAACTTCAGAAGTTTATTCAACTTCATAAATACTCTATTGCAGAAACAATTTACGATATTATGAACAAATTTCTGTAATATATTTTTAATTTATTCTATATGTTCTAAAGTTCTGTTAAGTCCAAGATGTTGAAAACAGGGGTGCCCATCCTCCCTCCCCCCCCCCAAGACTGATGGCGCATGCCCCCCTCAATAAAATATTATTTCCCCTCTCACTTATATAATTAATATGTATCTGTATGAGATGTAATATCAATGTTAGTTTAAAAGATAGTAGATATAACATCGGCCCATACCAGAAATCCGTTATTTTTTTTAAAAATATTTTTCCTTTTAAATAAGAATTTCATCTGAGATAATCGCATGAGCGTTTATTTGTTGTTACTTTATTTTAAAATGTTTCCGTGTCCTATAGCTAAAGACAAGTCATTAGTTGTATTGATTATATAAACACAATAAAGGTACCGCATACCTATATTTCAAACAACCGGCAACATCTGAGTTAATGGAAATACTGAAGGCAATGCTCCACTTGTGTTGAGTACTTAGGACAAAGTCATATCTGCCGCTCTTCCAAGTATGCACCGCCATTAGGTATATTGTTTTTATATACACACAAACTTCAGAGTGCCTTTTTTTTTTTCTTTATTTTAAAATTGAAAACTTAATGTGCCCTCCCCAAAAAAAATTCTGATGGCGCAACTTGCGCCATACAACCTCCCTGTAGGCACCCCTGGTTGCAAATTGTCTCAAACTTGAACTATACTCCTTAACGCAGCCTTACATTGCATATTATAAATATACCTCATAATTTTTTAAGGCAAATCTGTGAGCTATGAATTACTGAAAAATAGAATAAGCCAATTATTTTTTATAAAACTGAAAACAAGGAAAAATATAGATATTTCATCTTTAAAATCACTCTTATTAGCTCTGTAATTTTACATGAAAATTACAATCATAGTTAAATTTGTAAAGGTTCTTTAATTAATTGAACTATTAACAATTTAAAACAAGGTTATACCGGGAATTCAAAGATCATCATAAAAAGATCTGTTCATGATATTAATAATATAGATCAATCCTAGGCTTGAAACTTCAAATCGTTTTTGTTTTGTTTTTTTAAAGAAAATTAGATTGGCCAGATATTTTCTAGATCCACTTGACTCAAAAATACATTGTACTATTTTAAAATATTCTTTCATAAAACTGTTAGCATCAGCCATGTAACAGAAAACTCTCATACTATTTATAGTTTTTAAATATAATAGTATACTAATCCGAAAATTAGTATAGTTTGGTGTGTTAGAGAGAATAGTTATTTTTGAATGTCTTGAAGAAATAACACTAGATTTGTAAAGAAAAAACTATAATAAAAAAAAATGTAAATAATTATCATCTAATAACATTTTTATGAAAAATGTTAATTAGATAATGTCCATCTCCTACATTTATTATGCCAATAACATTTTATAAAATAATCTAAATGAATTATTTCTGAATTAAAGATAATGTATGCTTAGGCTGATCTTTATAACACCGAAGAAGAAGAGCTTGGACCAGCCATCGAAGAATTGGAAATCGACAGACAGCAAAGAGTCTACAGAGGACAACCATCAACTCTTGGACAGGTTGCAAGTGATAGGGATGGTCTGACTCACTCAAACGCCATACCGGTACTAGTAATTTTAAAATTATGATTATCATCTTTAATATTGATTTGAAATAAATATATTTAATTTTAATTATAAATTGACAAATCAATCAAAAAAATTCATTCTGATATAAGATTTTCAGAAACCTTTAAATAAATAAAAATTATCAGTTTTCTTTAATTATTTATGATAAATAAATGATATATTAATGTAGGTTATCTAATTGTATCAGTAAATTGAAATATCTTTGGCCACTGAGTATTTCTTTTTATATATATATTTTTTTTTTCTGCAAGAATGAAAATAAATTATTAGCACCTTATTATTATTAAATTATTAGCATCATAAAATGGATTATCACATTAGAAATAGTCCAAGAACTTGAAATGGGGTAAGTGGTCATTGAATGATTTCGAATATTCTGAAAATATAAAATTTTTCAGCCTCTGAAAGTGTATTAAATGTTGAAATGAAAACTCACTAACCAAGCAAAATCAATATATGTATAAAGTTCTTTTCCCTTTGCTGATTAATAATCTTACTAATTCACAAAATATTGTGTTTTAATTTCCTACAAACAAAATGTAAATATTCTTCTGTTGGTAAATCAAACTATAAATTTCTCTATATCATTAGAAAAAATATTAATATTTTTAATTTTCGAATTATACTAATACCATATTCCATTTTGAAATTAATGGAAATAGAAATTAATACAACATATGCTAATAGAAACAACACTCAGACTTCTGGGAAAATAAAGATTTTATAAACCAATACTTTTTTTGAATATTATATAAACATGTAAAAAATACTTATTTAAACATGTAAATTAATAATATTTTGTTGACTTCATTTTTTTTTATTTTTTTTATTTACAGTTACCCCTCAAAACTGACATTTTATTCACAACCGCATGTTATCAATCAAACTGAATAGTTATTTTCTATGTAATTAAATATCAAAATAAAATATGAAGAAATAAAATAAGGATCGTAACAAATAATAGATTAAGCTGTAATCCTTAACTGTTACAATACAATGTTTCAATTTGATGTAAATTAATTCTTAAAGTACTAATCATTACAAGTCTGTGAAAGCTAGTAAAGATTTATTACATTTTTTTCATAATCCTGCTAATGAGTGTTACTTCATTGGTTTCCCAAATCATTGCACCACATGAAATTAACCATTGGAAAAGATGGAGATAAAGAAATAATGTCTCTATTGTACACTACAATAATTATCACAGCTAGAGGGAACTTTAGAATGAAACATTTTCAAACTTCATAGTTGAAACAAACTATGAAAAATTTTGCTGGCACATTTTGGCAAATAGGCAAATTTTGACTGGGTAATGGATTTTTGAGATAAATACATTTTGATGAGGTCGTGAATTTTCCGTGTGAAAATTTTCAAAACAGGGAACTAGGAGGAAAACATGAAACAGACCATAGCAAGTGAAATTATATATGATCTCCTATTTGTCTAAACTAACGTTTACTTGCACTGTTTTTAAGAATATCAAAACCTTGTGGGGAATGAGCATCCCTGATTCACTATACAAGCTCAGAATATTTGAATGTAGTGGCCTGATTAGGTATTGAGATTAATTAACAAGATAAAATACTGAAAAGATATGTAGGCAGATATTTAAGTATAATTTATTTTTTTTAATTAATATTTTTTTTTTTTTTTTCAGTTAAGTGACTAGAATAATATTTTAACTATATTGTTTAATAAAATATTATTTTCATTTATAGGTACCTGCAACTGGAGGTCGAGATAAACTTTCAGTAATATCTTATGGTGCACAACAGCAATACAATAGGTAAAATTTTCTTTAACACCTTTATCATATGTAAGGCGCATTGAAATTTTCAAACACAAGCTATAGTTTGTGATATATTTATTTAATTTTAATGAATGAAAGAGATGGTTTATAATTCAGTCTGAACAAACGGAAACGGACGGATGGGATCACCGACTCGGATCACAACTTTTTGACAAATAGCCCAAGGGTGAGAATGAAACGAGACAGCGACCCCAGGTACGACTGTAAACATATCTGACTTAAGCCCTCTAATCACCACTACCACAGCCATATCCTCAACTAAACTCACCTCACAATTCTTTCCGATATATTCAGCATTGTAAATAAATATTTTATAAGAAACTTATCAATACTTTTTTTAATATTAAATGTTTACATATTGATAAAATAATATTAGAAATTCTTTCCTTATTTCTTACACAAATTAAGGTTTTTCTACTATATTTAGCCTTTTCTACTTGCCTAATGACAATTTTATAAGATTATGATTTGAAATAACTAAATTTTAGCTATTTTAGAATTTTTCAAAAATAGAATGCCATTCCTAAGTAAGCTATGTTCTTACTTTAATTCTTCAATCTAATCGTCTCAAAACCATGCAGTAAGACTGTTCCAAAAATCATTAGAATCATCAATAGAATTAAAAACCAATACATTGAGATTTTAAAAAAAATAACAAAACAAGAAATAAGGAAGAGAGAAAATTATGTACATAAATAATTAGTCAATTACAGTGCACACAATTATAAAATCAAAGATTATGTTTTATAAAATCAATTTATAATCTGAACTGCTGTGATATTTTACAATTATTTAAATACTTTTTTTTTTACAAAGTCAATAAAATGGTCGATGTGGAAACAAAATAATAATTTGAAACAAATTTACAAGAGTTGAACAGAAATAATTTGACATTAAAAAATGTCACCAAGAAATGTCTCCACCAAGCCATATATATATATATATATATATATATATATATATATATATATATATATATATATATATATATATTTTTTTTTTTAAATAAGGGATAAATAGTTTTAAAACAAAGTGATTTGGAGTAATGTAAAAAAACTGGTTAACTTTATTTTTTTCATTTATTTATTTTAATTTTAATTGTTTGTATGCAGTCACCAAATGGGCAGCTGAAAAACATTATTATAATTGGTCAACAATTTTAGGTAGTATTAATTGGGTTTATTTAGCAGTTATATTTCAACTAAAATCTTTTCAAGTATCCATACCTACTTAAAAACAATAGAAATCTTCGATTTTTAAATTAAATTTAAATTGTCAACCAAAAATAATTAATTTCATCCAAATAGCTTTTGTGCTTTAAGAATTAGTAATTAAAAATCTTACTCCATTGTTATTCTGCACTTGTCATGAAATGTCACAGTAGTCTAGATTAAAAAAAAAATTCAAGAGCACTTTTTGCTGTAAATAGCTCTGGAAAAGAAAATTTACATTCACAAAAACAAAAAAAATCAAAATAAATGTCCATTCCTTTGCTATTAAATACCTTGACTTCCTTCTTCCTTCACATTCACTGTAAATACTGCCACATATATTTGACATTGAACTGACTAATTTTCCGGCATAGTTATCAACAGAGTCTTGGACCTCGCAGTTTCCAGAGGAGGAATAAGAAACACAACAGAAAGAAGAGGGAGCAACCTTCTGAAAAGATAGAAACAAGTAATAAAAATAATACTGTCAATGACACTGCTACTAGTAGTACCTCAGACACACAAGATCATAAGGAAATAATCCCACAAGGTAATGATAATGAAAATGTTGAAGAAGAAGAAGAAGAAGAAGAGGAAGAGGAAGAAGAGGAAGAAGGAGAAGAAAGTGAAGATGAAGAAGAGGAAGAGGAGGAAGAACTTGATAATGCTGAAGAAGAACAGAGTGAAGAAGATGAAAATGGGAAAGAAAATAACACAAAAGATTCATTAGAAAAACCGGCATCAAGTGTGGAAAGGAATGAAACTAATAAAAGTAACTCTTATACTGAATTTAAACTAGACTTTCCCAGCCCACCTTCTTCATGGGAATCGTTCGAGGATTTCAAAAGTTCATTTGGTGACATTGACTTTGATGTTGAAAAGTTTCTTGAAGATTTGAAATCTGACAGCTTTGATGATGATATTTTCGGGAGTAAAAGTAATAAGAAGCAGCAAGAAGGAAACACCCAACAGGGTGAAGCTCGAAATGCTATGAAACCCGCAACTGTTCCATTGATCATAATACCACCAAGTTTAAATGCTACTGAAGTTAAATTTGAACTTTTTTTCCCAAAATCATTAGCTAATAACGTTTCTCTGAGCAATGCAAGTATTGTTCCACTATCTAGTACAGTAGCTACTCCTTTCTCTGATGATTACTTGGAAAGAACTTTGACTCTTCCCGCACCCAGTACAACATTCACAACTCATCAGCAAATCCCACCCACCTCAGAATTTAGAGATTATCAAGGCAATATAAAATACACTTTACGAAAACCAGATGAGGAAGTAACAAATAATAATATGAATATACGATTAGTCAGTAACAGAAGATCACATGATTATGAGATGCCTCGACAACGGTCTGGTACAAGGTCACGTGGCCAAATTAGGAGGAACATATGGAGAGGAAAACCAACTACAAGAGAGAGAAAACTATCTCATGGACCTAATCGTGGAAATGCAAGATTCACATTGAAAAGTCCTCGATATTTTGTGATGAATACAACTCCTAACTATAGCAATGAAAAGAAACCTCGTTTTGAAAGTGTAAATCCAACACCTGTTTATGGAATAAAACATCCTCAACAAGATAATGCACCTAGGTTCAACGGACTAAATGCTAAACCAACAAGTTTCACAGGTAACCAGGAATATAAATATTCATATGCAACCCATTTTAACAGCGCTCTTCATAGGCCTAATAAAAATAACATCAATGATGTACAAGCATTTGAACCTACGACTCCTCGCCAAACATTTGAATCAGGAAGCATTGAAAACAACAGACATTCTGATCAAGGGCGCCAAGTCGCATATGACTTTTATGAACAAAGTCCAGACTATAGAAGGAGACAAAACCTTTATAGAAGACAAAATCAAGGATACAAATTTTACAGACCAGGAGGTAAATCTGAAAATCTTATTCGTCCACATAGCACAATTCAACCAATTGTAGTAAGAAATTCAAATTTTTTTGAAAATATAAACAACCCTATTTATACAGGAAAATTGAACTCTGAAACGACAGTTAGCCACAGTGAAGATAGTGAAAATAAACCAGATTTTCCTATTAATGACCGACCTACGAATATCCCAATATATGAAATACAAACCACTCAACAACTTTCATCTATGAAACAACCAGTTCCTACACCTTACTTTGAAACTGGGAACAGCCAATCAAGTGAAGAAACTTATCATCCCAAAAAGGATGAACATGGTTCTCATACAACAGAATCAACCTTCATCTATGATGAACAACTTGAAATTAATAATAATGAGGATTGGTTAACAAGAAATCATTCCATACATGATACATCACCTTATAATACTAAAACAAAATCTGGAGAACCTGTAGCATATCGCAATCCATCACATAATAATGAACCTTCATCTCCATCTTTTAGATACACATCTGAATCAAATAGAGATGATTATAACCAAATTCAAGATTCAACTACAGATGAAAAAGACAATGCTGAAATAAAAAATCCAAACCCATCAACCTCATTTGAAAAACCAAAGGCAACAGTAGCATATCCTGACTATACAGAAAGCAACCAGTCCATTAAAATAAATGATCAATTTAGTCCTACCACCTCATATCAACTAAACATACAGCAACAATATCCTCAGAATCATAAGATCACTCATTCTTCTGCATCAGATTCGTCAGCTGAAATTTCAGAAGAAAACAACAGCGGACAAACAAGTAATTTTAGTGCATCAGCAAAAAAACCTTCCTCATATTTTTATGTCAACCAAAAAATAGGCCCAGTAAAAAAAATTGCTATCTTTAATAATATCCCATCAGATGCTTCAAGTGATGATGAATATGACTATTATAATGACTATGATGAAGAAGATTATGAAGATTTAAGTAATGAAACGACACCAAAACCACCACAAATTCCTAAAACCTTACAAAATATTGATAACCAAGAATTCGAAGATCCAGAATATGATGATTATAACGATGATGAAACAGATTATGATGACGAATCTAAAGAAAAAGATGGAAATGAAATGGGTAGTGGAGAAGATTATTATGATGATGATGAAGAAAAAGAAGAAATTAAAGAAGGAGAGACTAAGACTGTAAAAGTAGAAGCAAAGGGTCAAGAAGGTAGTATAGAGCGACCACTGACAGTCACTCCAAGACCAGGATGCATTTTTGCCGGGAGAGCAGAAAATGGGCAAAAACGACTGCTCTGTCCTCGTCGAAATTCAACAGACAGACCGAACACGACTGCTGATGACCAGACCAACAGTGAACAGACTCGCAGGACAATTACTTTACTCAGGTAAGATATAAATTTGACAGAATGACTTATAGTTAGTTCCTTATAATTATGAAATATAAAACTAGGCAAACATTCTAGTAACTATATCAAAGAGCTTAACAGTTATATGGAAAGGTTTATTTAAAGAGATATTTTTTCTTCTTTGTTTGAATGCTGTGAGAGTATAAAAGATAATAAAAGTATAATTTTAATATAGTAATCACCTTGGAAATCTTCTAAATCAATCATGAAACATAACCAATTCATTTTTTTAAAATAAAAATTTCAATTTCATTTTTATCCTGCCAAATTTCATTCTCTGATTCATATTCATTGGAACTGAATGATTAAGCAATATTGCAATACTTATGTCACTGAGTGTTCTGGAAAACTACATTTTTATATATAGATTCAAGACAACATAAAAAGTAAAAATTTAGTCAAAGTATATCAAAATTCGATTAATAATTGTATTGAAATTCTACTAAATAATGATTTAAAGGGTTATCAGGAATAGAAGAGGAAGCAAGGTTGGAAACGAGAGGGTTCGGATGGTTCAGAAGTTTATTATGAAAGGACAGGTATCTGGATTGAGCTAAATCGGAAACATATGGTACATTGAGGTCATTATGGATGATTTCATTTGTGACAAAGTAGGGAGCATTAAGGATTTTACGAAGGATTTTGGATTGTAGGGATTAGATACGAGAGGAATTTGATGGTTTAATAGAGCCCCAAAGCTCGATCCCGTAAGTCCAAATAGGCCTTATTATAGTAATATATATGAGTCTTTTGTAAATAGTTGGCAGTTTAGAGTGTTTGTCTAGTAAGTGCTGAAGTAGTCGGAAACGTCGGGCGGTTTCTAGTCATTTCAGTCTGGTATGGGGGTATGTTATTTTTAAAAATATTCATGAATTTCCTGATAATTAATTGGAATGTAATAAGAATTAATGTTAATCATAATAATACAATAAAAAAACAACTGGATCAAAAGTTGGATACCAATACTACTAAAAATTATTTTCTACATATCTCGATTCACACCTTGCGCGTTTATAGTTGTTGGAGTAGATAATGAATGAATCCCTAAAAAAGTTAGAGTTGAAAGGTTTCATAGTAAATTTCCAGAGGGTTGCCTGAAATATATGTTGGAGCATCATGATATACATCATTTGGGTTTTTGGTGGAGGTAGGTATGTTAGCAGTGATGATGTTTGCATAAAACCCTCAGGTTGACTTACCTTATCATTAATATTATTCTTGATGAAAACAACATTTGTACCCAAAATGGATAGATATGATCACTTAGAAAAAAAGAAAATTAAATATGAACAAAAATGTAGTAATTTAAAATTCATCTGTTATGCAGGAATATATCTTAAATTAGATTTATTCATTAATCCTGAATAATACATTTTTTGTTCATAACGACAAAAATTTAAATTTTTGCTCATAATATTTTTAAAAATCAAATTTCATTAATCATAAGTCAATCATATTTTATACAATTCATAGTAATATATGTACTAATTATTACTACATCAATTTAGAGTGAAACTCTACTTATTGTTACTTTAAAGTTATTTGATGACAAAAACTATGCATTTATTTTCTCTTCCTTCCTTGTCTCTTAATATCTGTCTCTTTTAACAAGGAGGGAAGAGATAATATTTAATGTATAGAATAATAATATGTAATGTATGGAAAATATGGAAGATAATATGTAATATACGAGATTACAACTAAGTGTATAAGAACAACTTATTATATAACAAAAACTGTTTTATATTCCTCATGCTAAAATATTTAGCAGTACAATAATTATTTCAATGTATAGGGCAAGTGTTCAACCTGTACAACAACCCTATGATAGCCGAGGCTATAACACAACCAGGTACATTCAACAACAACAGCAGCAATATACAGACCCCAACTATTATTCAGTATATGATGAAGAAGCTGAACAATACAAGGATATTGGTAATATTTCCTAAGTTATTGCTTTATATGTATAATCCAAAATGGATAACAAGTACTTCTTTTGTTGAAGATACAATGTTACAGTTTTTAAATTGTTTTGCTCATCGGGGCCTCAATGAGTGTTGAATAGTCTGATATGAACCCTTTCTTTATTAAAAAAACAAACAACTAAGTAGTTATGGTTTTTCTGTTTATTTTTTATGTCACTGCAGTATACTCTTATCTGATGAATTAATTCCAAAGGTTGTTTATCCTATTTTTAATATTTCAAGAACTATTTCTGCTAGATCTTGTAAATTAGCCTGCTGCAGGGGCTCAAAAATTTAAAATGCTTATGAGGATTATGCCTACAATGAATGCACTTGTCAAAATTGATTTCCCAAATTTTGTTCAGAAAATATTTACATCAATGACGCTCTTCAGTCTGTGCCCCACAAAAAATTGAAGCAAGTAATGTTTTAGGCCATTGTTGATCAATATCCCACTCAATCAATGGAAGAGATTTCTATGGCCCTACATTTGCCACAGGCAAATTCAGAACACCATTGTCATAAGCTCAGGTATATTCCAAGCTTGATTGTTTACCTCCACTCTATAACCTAAGTCAAAACAGCATAAATAAATTACTAAGCTTGAGATAGATGGTTTTACCCCACTTTTCCTGTCCACCAGACCTAGCTCCAAGCAATTACCACTTATTCTAGTCTTTGCAGAACTCCATGAGAATCAAAAGTGATTCCAAACAAAACTGGCCATAAAAAAGCACTTCAATAAGTTTTTTGGCAATAAATCCCAGACGTTCTATGAATATGGCATCATGCAACTAGTGGAAAGATAGGTACAGGTATTACTAAATAATATATAATATATTATACATTAAAATAAATATGTCCTTAATAAATCAAATTTATTTCACCTTGAAAAACTAAAAGGATTTTTTTACCAATCCATTAATAAATTAATATGTGGAATTTAGAATAATAGTAATAATTATCAATGGTTATTCTCTTGAATATATGTTTTTTCATGGAACTTTAGACTATATTTGTTTGTTGATGGAACTTAAGACTAAGATATTAAGACCTTATAATAACTTCTTTATAACAATCATAAAAATGACTGATTCAGTTGGCATTAATCAATTTCATAGAAATTTTGAGCCCTACATTTATTCATTAAAAGAATCGAGAAACATAATGTAATGAAAAACCTTAACTGATTGTGTATTTTAGCCGACTATGCACAGTACATTCAACAAAACAAGCAAGACATATATACCCGGAAAAAGCCATCAGTAGAAATAGTTCAACAAGAACCAGTTCAAAGAGGAGCTACCTTTCAAAAGAATAAATACTCCACCCAACCAGAAAACATCTACCAGTCAGTTACTCCACAGGAATATGACTCATACAGTATCCAGGTAATTCATCATGTTTAACCCATATTTTTTATTTCAAACAATATCTATTTATTTCATGGCTCATTATTTATACTTCTATGTAATTTCACAACTTCCTCAGTTTTTCATTTAATTATTAAAAAATAAATATATATATCTTTTTTGCCACTTAGTGAGACTTAGACATTTGTTACTTTTTTAAACAGAAATTTATTTATTCAATATTTTTGTTGTAATTCGTAAAGTGTAAATTTACAGATGCATCACAACAATTGTTATTGTATGACTTTAAAACAAAAAAAAAAAAACTTATTAATGATTTAGTTTTTGTTCTTACTTTTAATTATTTTCATAATTTATGAGATTTTTGAAAATGTATTAGTTAAATATATTTTTATTATTACTGAATACGCTACTTCTCTCAGGAAATACTAAAATGAAATGTTTCTTTCAATTGCAGAACAATGATGACCTTTATAGGCAAGTTCAGACTAAACCTAGCACCAGGTAATCGCACTGTATCATAGCACTGCATTTTATTGGATTGTTATTTCTTAGTGAGACTTAAAGCAAGATTTATATCTTACGGTTGTAAAGTTTGATTGAAACTTGTTTGAATGTATGCAATTACAAGTTGATCTAGTTTTTATTGAATTGATTAATGAGTATGAAATAACATTAAACACTTGACCAGCATGAAAATAATTATATTTTCATTTAAATGAAATATATGCACTTACAGAAGAATGTTAGATATACACTATATAACGAAAACAGTACTTACAAGTCAAAGGTGTCACAGGTCACACCGGCATGTTGGCTGTTTGTAGATTTGCTTTTTTTATTTATTTTTTAAAGTATATTAATGACTGTAGAGAAATTTGTCAGTTTGTCCAATATGTGCTCACAAATAATGAACACTAAAAAATTCTAACAAATTTATTTATTTATGTAAATTGTACGATATGATAGGTAAAATGTATATAATTCGGTGCAGATTTCCTGAAGTAAAGGAGTTGGGATCGACTCAAGGGGAGAGAAGGTTTATCACTCTTTCTACGAAGTTAGCCAACAACCCTTTACCAACAGACACCCCGACAAAGACTGACAGGGTTGGCAGCGGATTTCGCTTAGATAACACGCAAACCGAGGCAAATGTAGTGAATATCACTCCAAGAAAATTAGGGCAAGCAGATACACAAGCAAGACCTACATCTACAATTGAGAGAACTGGTTCTTTAGCACAACAAGTCAATGCTCTAGCACCATCAGGTTTTATCTTAGACCCAGTCACTAAGGTTCTAGATGTTTTAACTAGATCGGGTGAGTATTTAAGTGATGAAGCAAGTGTTGAAGAAAGTAAAGAAGTTAATCAGGTGGCTACTGGTGTGAGTCATAGAAGAAAATCACCTTTGACTGTGGAAGAAATTGATATAGATCATCTCAAAAACATCAATTTCCAAAGTACGCCAGCAAGCAGATTCAAAATTGCCACAATATCCACAGAGACACCATATATTCAACCTGTAATTGCTATGAATAATGTTGGAATAAGTCAAAGTTTTGTTCAAACTAGTACAAAACCTCCCACAACACAAGCTGCCACAACAGTTCTTTCTATATCACAAACAGTGGAACAAAACCAACATACAAGAAAAACTTATGAAATACCTAAACAAGATTATTCAACAGAAAAAACTCCTTCTATTAGAGAAAAACCCAGACAGCAGTTGGTTAAACAAGAATATTCAACCAGATCAAGAGGAACAGTGAGACATCATAATTCAGGTGAGATTTTTTATACTGACCCCGGAAGTGCTCAGGACTACTCTGATCAATTAAGTAGCCTAGAAATACCTAAACAATGGAGAGATTTACCTATTATGTCTAAAGAAAGAGATTCTACCCAATGGTCAAAAGAACAAACAACAAAAGATTCTGAAGCAATATCTATATCAAGACAACAACCGCGGTTCAGGCCAGTCACTACAGCAACCATGGAAGGCCTAACTACAGCAATACCACCAAGAAAAGTAGAATCACCAACTTTTCCTGAAACAATTACCTTAACCAGGACACAACAAAAATTGGCTGAAAATGAACAACCTATAGCTACTTCAATGTTTCAGCCCAACCAGAGGATACAACAAACCACCACTAAGAGCCCTGTACAATATGAAAGTACAACTCAACAGTTAAGGGTTATTGGCATGAGAGCATCATTTAATACCCCATTTGATAAAGAAAATGAAAGAACAACACCAAAACAGCTTTTGATCAGAATTCCAGAAACATTCAGAGTAAGAGAAGAAACAGCAAGGAAACTTGAAGTACCATCTATCAAAGCCAACACATACCATCATAGAAATACTGAAAAAGAACAGTTCTTCAGAGAAAAAGAAATTGCAACAGATGATTCTGAACCTTCTTCTGAAGAAGCCCGAAAACCTATTTCAATCAGAATTCCTGACACATATACAAGAAGCCATGGTACAGAAAATAGCCGCGACTCTCTCTCATATAGGAAACAAAATATAAAGCCCAGAGAAAGAGGTGAAACCGAATATGAAAAGGAAAAACCCACCCCAATCAGGCACACTGATTCTATAGAATTCAATACAAGATCAAAAGAACGGGGTTCTCACAGATTAATGGACAGTGGAAAGCAAGCAGCAAATAGCAATGATGGTGAACAATCAAGAGGACAAACTTTGAGATCAAGGGAATATATGAATACAGTAACATCCCCCGCATCATCCTCTGAAATTCAAAATTTACAACCAAAAACTAATCAGCAAACCGAGTCGAGACAAAGGGAAAGCCTAACTGTAAGATCTAGGGAACAATCAGACGTGGAAGTTGCAAAACCTATAGCTGTAAGAGTGCCAAATGATAATGCTAATGCTAATGATAAACAACAATACAAGTATAGAAATGAAGGTGAATCTGATCAAATGGAAGAAGTGAGAGGGCAGAGCAGAGATAGAGAAGTTAGCCATAGGAGAGGGGAGAAGAGAGGTAGGGGACAACTAACTGACTCTGACAGGAATAGTGAGATAACAAACAGATTTGAAGTAGCGACAACACTGAGACCAAAATATAGGCTTACTGCCCCCTCAATAACATCCAAACCAATCTTATCACGACCTCCAAAAAAATTTAGAAACGGAACAATTTATGCTGACCAAACCCTCCCAATTGGAACTGACATGACTGATTCCCCTCCTTCCGCAGAACCAGATCCATCAATAAGGTAGGATATGTTTTAAGATATACGTCAAATAAATCTTCCGGTGTTTTATTATTATCTTTCTTTTAAATTTAAACACTTTAAAAAAACTAGAAAAAAGTAGGAGGAACAAATTGATAATCTGTATTTTCTATATGACAGGGCTCGTCCGATGAGTAACAACACCCCATCTACCCCTGGCTCGACCAGGTAGGGAAAACATTATTTCTTTAAAATAATATTCACTTTTCATTTTTCATCACGCTTTATTAATAATTTAAAACAAATCAACGATCTATCATTATTCTGTTTCTTTTCAAGAATTTGTTTTTTCATTTCCTGCCAACTTTCTGAAAATCATTCTGACTACTGGCGTTAATTTGCATGCATCATGAGCATGTGATTATTGCACTATTTTGTAAAAAAAATTTATATGTTTTTTCAATTGAAAACTGTCCATTTTGTAAAAAGTGAGACAAACTGACAGCTGGAACATACTGACTAATGACATACAATACTTTGCTTAGTTGTACATAACTTGAAGCTTATTCACCAACATTATTCATGTAGATTTACTTCATGGGTTGAGTTACTAATCTCAATTAACAAGATCTGTCATACCACATTATTACTAATCTTGCATGTAATTTATAATAATTGAGCTTTTTCTATAATCTTTTAACATAATAAATGTGTATAAATGTATATACTTCTAACATAACAATAAAGACAATTATGGTGCATGCATAATAGAAAAATGGTTTGGTTACTTAGTTATAATAGATAATCGAAAACCAACTTCAGTAATTCATTGAAGCAATAAGATTATGAGTGAATGTTGAATTTTATACATAAAAATTAACATCGTTTTATACATAAAACATTAAAAATGTGGTTATCTAACATGACAATCAAAAATATTTTATATGGTAAACTAGAATTATTGTATAATTTCTATGGTAATGATAATTAATTCTATATAATATTTAATTTATCTAATCATTTGATGAACTTGCGGCATTTGGTCACTGAATACTTTAAAATTTTTCAAAAAAACTTGAGAATTTTGATACAGCATACAATTTTGGTTTTAGAATTTACTATAATTTCTGACTGTTCCATAGGAAATGATATAAATGAGTAATATAACAGATATAACTTAGTATAAATAACAGATAATATTCGAAATTTTTGATAAAGACTAAAAGATATAACAATACGAAGCTTTGATTTTTTATGACTTTTATTTTTTTAAATGAGCATGTTAGATGATCACGTTTTTGTCAAATAAATTTAATATTACAGAATAAAAAAAATTCCTTAAGTATAATGTGAACGATTAGTTTTGAGAAAAAATGTATTAAAACAAAAATTAAAATATTTAGATATTATTAATTAATCTAAACTAGAGAAAATAAAATAAATTTGGGAATTCTTTTTTAAATTACATTCTAAAAAAATCATGCATCCAATGTTTCTTACCTGATAATTGAAATTGATCAAACCATCTCAAGTTTTCTTAACACTTTGAATGACTTCTTCATAATTATGTTATGTTTTTATTAACTCAATAGATTAAAATAATACAAATAAAATATAGAAAATTAATTAAATATAATTCATGATATTTTAACAAATAGATATAACTTAATGTTCGTTTTTTTTTATTTTTTTATTATGATTGTCTCCAATAGTACTTTTGCAAACTATAATTTTCTCTAGCCTTCTGCAGTGCAATAGCCATAAAATATGTTTCATAGAAGAGTTAACACTGGTGCATATAAATAGGAACCACCCTGTGTTTATCCTTATATCAAGTGCAGTATGATTCTTACACCTAATTGTTGCAGGAATAATCAGCGCCATCGGGGATCCCAAACCTACACTGTATCTCCTAATGAAGCAGAACCAGCACCATCCCCTGTAGCTACTTCTCCGCCCAGAGGCACTCTACCTCCTAACAGGTATATCAAGTTCATAGTATCAATAACACAATGAGTTAATGTCAAATAGTGTAAATAATTTGTTAGTTTAAATCAGATAATTTGCTATTTTATTGTTTAAATTACTGCTGTAAGATATCAATATGTTAATGTAGAATTATATTGCTTCATTCAAACAGAATGAATTAACAGAACTGAAAACCAATAACAAACAAAATCAGTTTATTTCACACTGTCCATTATCTCAAATCAACTCAAATGATGAACACACAACTTATATACAATAAGCTTTTTGAATGTAAAATACTTGATTAACAACAACTTAACCTGATGTAAAACATAATAATGAAATTTACCAATTATTAGTGCCAAAATTCCATTCCATCCCTTAATGAAACTTATTTTATTTTTTATTAAATAAAAATATTATGAAACATACTGGCCAGGTATTTGCCCGTACCACAATTCCCTAGCATGCCACAATGTGGCTTGGCTATTAAATAAAGCCTGTTCAAAATTATAAACTGGAAATTATATTTATTATTATTTTTATTAAACTTTATTCGATCTCTTTAAATGGCACATTTATATTTTTTTTTCAGAGGTAGACCAACATTGAAACCATCCAATTCAGTAGTAAGTAAAGCAGCAGAATTTGTGGACATCTACCGATTCCCTCCAAGCAGGTTAGTTAGATCATTTTGTATACAGAAGTAATTAATAAGCTTAATGTAGAAGCATTTAATAGTTTAAATGTAAATATATGTTAAAGATAGTATGGCTCACTGCCTTGGTCTACAAGTTGTTCTAAAGACTTATTCCCAAAATAATGAAGACATTTTTAATTTTCAAATACATACATACATATATATATACATATATTTTTTACTTGAGGTATTAAAAAAAAAAAGAAGAAAGAAAATGAATTCACATATTGAAAATTTATAATTTAACTGAGCTTTAAATCGCTATACTGCTATGTTTTCAGACCCGAAAATGTGTACCCTACTCCACAAGTTGACAAGACAGCCGCTAAATGCAGGAAAGATGTTTGCCTGTTGCCAGATTGTTACTGTGGTGGAAAAGATGTTCCAGGTAAAATCAATCAGTAATAAAAATGAACTAGTTTTAATTTATATATATTAACAAATCATGTACATAATAAACACATCCATCACTCATCATGTGTGGTAATTTTACATTTTTTGTATATATTAAGAATCCAAAAGTTTATTGAACATAGGCTCTCGTTATAGTGTGTATAAGAAAACCAACATGTCACAGATAAAAAATTAATAATAAGAAAAAAGACAAATACAACAGAAAGTAAAACTACACTGTAATATTGTGTCCTATACTCATTATATGAAATCACTGAATTAAAAAAATGTCATTATAAATTATCAGTTTTCAGTTCTTTTTAATATTTAAGAATATATAATTACAGGAGAACTGACTCCAGAAGAGACCCCTCAGATAGTTCTGCTCACATTTGATGATTCAGTCAACGACCTCAATAAAGGACTTTACTCCGATCTGTTTGACAAGGGCAGGGTCAACCCCAATGGCTGTCCTATTTCGGCTACTTTCTATGTCTCTCACGAATGGACTGACTACAGCCAAGTCCAAAACCTCTATGCAGGTGGTCATGAAATAGCTTCCCACTCTGTCTCGTAAGTATGATTGTTAGAGACAATACATCTAGTGAATTACTGACTTTAAGTCAATATAATCCTGTTATTTGCAGAACTGGAAACAACTTTAATAAGCAAAGTTTTTGACTATTAAAAACAAATAATTCCATATCAGTAGTCTACAAAACACCAGTTAGTCTAAAAATAAATAAGTAATTTCTGATCCATTTATTTATAATCCAAATATATTTATAAAAAAAAGAAACAAATTTGGGATACAACATAGGTTATTAAATGAATGGCTAATTTGAAAACAACATTACTTAAAATATTTCATGTATTATGGAAAATGTACATTTCAGTATTCTTAATAAAATTATAGAAATTGGAACCCTAAATATTATGAGAATTTAGGGTTTTACACATGTATTATGTTAATGAAACAATTAAAAAATTGTAGGAATATAAAATACTTGTATCAAATAAATATTTTTAATGGTAAAACCTATTAAAATATTATGGAGAGGTTCAGAACATGCTATAATGTCAATACCAAACTCTCTCGATCAGAGTTTCTGATGCAATGTACTATAAATATGAAATTTAGTTGATGAAGAGGTTTTAATTGGATTTTCAGGCACAGTTTTGGTGAACAGTTCTCACAGAAGAAATGGACAAGAGAAATAGCCGGACAGAGGGAAATACTCGCTGCATATGGTGGAGTAAAGTTGGAAGACATCAGAGGAATGAGAGCACCTTTCTTAGCTGTATGAACTTGATAGATATTAATTACCTTATTATTAATCACCACATCTTCATTTAATAATGTTTAAATTAATGTTAATTGGTATACAATCAAATGTTATATTTTATTTTTTGCTCCTTATTATAATAATTAAACCACTGTTTCAGGTGGGAGGAAACAAAATGTTTAAGATGTTATACGACTCTAACTTCACCTATGACTCATCAATGCCTGTTTACGAAAATAGACCACCCAGCTGGCCTTATACCCTCGACTACAAAGTATTCCATGACTGTATGATTCCTCCATGCCCAACTAAATCATATCCAGGTAGTTTATTTTTGATTAAAAATTTAACTACCATTACAATTTTAATACTTTACTAAAATATTTAAAAATTAAAAAAAAAAACATATTAGTTAAATACAAAGCAGGGCAGCCAGTGAATAAGACACTGTGCTCCTATCCAGGGTTTGAGTCAGGCTGTGGCAGGTTATTGTTTATAATACTTCATTAGCTGTGTACTGACCCTGGTGTTAGAAGTTACCCAGCCTTTATAAAGTGGGTACTCTTAATTATTTAATTGTTTAATTAAGATCAAACACCCGTGGTTGAGCATCATCCTGATCAAATCACCTCCTTGCATATTCGTTGACAATAAAGAGTACTTCCTGACAAATTACTAAATTCTATACCCTTCAGGGGTTGTATTGGTACAATTTTTTTTATTTTTTATAATATAGGTATGTATGCCGATGTTTAACAATTTTTGATATTTTATCCATAATAATGTTTTTAAAAGGTATTTGGGAAGTTCCTATGGTCATGTGGCAAGATCTTAATGGAGGGCGTTGCTCGATGGGTGATGCTTGTTCAAATCCACCAACTTCTGATGGAGTCTACAAAATGCTTCTGAAGAACTTTGAAAGACATTTTACAACAAACAGGTAATTAGAAAATTATAAGAACTTGAAGGAATCTTTATATGGAATTAATCAAATTGAACTTATATAACTAAAGAAAATTTTAACTTTTTTTTTATTTTAATTACTACATTGAAACCCTATTTATAATGGTACAATCAGTAATCAAAATGAAAAAATGCATCATTTCCCTAAGCAATTTTTAAAAATCTGAAAAATATACTGATGATAGATTTTAGAAAACATTGTTTTGAAATCATCATTACGCTGTTATAATTGAGATGTAAAATAATTATTTTTAAATGATGATCTTGGGATAGAGACCTTAACAAGTATCAGTAGAAAAAGGCTTTTTTGGTCTCAATGATTTAAATTACATAAATTTATCCAAAATTTTGCCCCTTCAGGGATAAAGTCTGATTTTACATTAATTATGCATTTTCATCTGAAAAATATGTACCAAATTCATTCAGAAATTTTACTAGCAGGCATTAGCCCATTTATAAAACACATAATAACATTAAAAACAAATATTAACCAGTCAACAATATGTGTGTCAATTTCAAAATATATTTAGTGCTTAATAATCAACAGAGTTTGATAACTTCAGCTCACACTTTAATAGACACATAATTAGAGACACCTACAAATAAATTACTTTGATCTAAAGACTAGTACATTACAACATAAATTTTGTAATTAAATTGGAAAACTGTATATGTTCTTTCATCAAATTATGTTAATTATAGCATTTGCTATTATTTTTATTATTTAATGAGCACTTTTGAGGAATGAAAATGTGAAAGTGGTTGAATAATTGTTCAGGGCGCCATTCGGTCTCTTCTATCATGCAGCCTGGTTCACGCAGCCCCACCACAAGGAAGGTTTCATCTCATTTTTGGATACAATAAATAAAATGCCTGAAGTTTGGCTGATCACAAACTGGCAAGCCATTCAGTGGGTCCGCGACCCGACTCCTATTTCCAGGTTGGGATCTTTTGCTCCGTTCCAGTGTAACTACCACGTAAGTTACAATCATAAAAGATTTTGTATTTAACTTAATTCTTTTTTTAATTGATCAATGTTTCTATTGATACTAAAGAAACAAATTACATGGTTAATTATAGAGATTAGCTAGCTACTTAAATTAATTTTTAATGCAAGAAAACGCTTTTACATACAAATCAAAATGCAATGTCTTTCATTATAGCTCAATTTATCTGGAGGGAAATAAAGCACTTTATAAGCTTAACAACATTTCTTTTTCATACCAATATCATAAGACGTTTCTAGACAAAACAAACAATTTATGAAACTTTTTATTAATTCATTAGAAACTAAAACAAAAAGAGAAAAGGATACCATCAGAATTCATAAATCATAATGGTATCACTAAGAGTAGATAGAAGTTTAGAAGTTTATAGGTTATTATTGAAAATAAAATAAGTTTAAAGGTAAATTCTTAATTAAATAAACCTACTATAACAGGTAGGTACTTCAAATGATTTATTTTTTGTCAAAGCCTAAAAGAAAAATGGAAGATTAACAAATATGGGAAGAAACAAGGGATTGAAATGTGTTAGTAAACTACTAATAATTTTTTTTAATGTTTCAATAGGACTATTTTTAATTAACAATTTAATTTATTAAAGAAAAATAAAACTTAATGGATTTATGTGATGTTACAGGACAGGCCAAAGAAATGCAACAATCCTAAGGTTTGCAACCTGTGGCATAAATCAGGTGTGAGATACATGAGGACTTGTCAGGCTTGTCCAGAAATATACCCATGGACCGGAAAGTCAGGAGTTCGTAACAGCCGTGTAGACAATGACCTCGAATAAATACTGTTCTCGAGCATTAACTGTTACCAGAATCGCTGTCTCCCGCGCAAGACACCCTTTTTTATAGTGAATACCTAGACTGCTAGTTCGAGTATTGTTTAAGACATTTAAAGTGCGCTTGAACAAGTCACAGAGTTTTCCTTTGATTATTTATGTTAGTCTCCTGTGAAGACTCAGTGAAAATTAAATTTACTAATTGATATGTTAGTACAACCATTAGGTGGTTTGTAAAATTATTTATTTATTGGTACTAGTAAGTATAGAAAGTGTTCGTCACTATGAGAGATAGCCATTGTAAATCATATATTCTATACATTATACCTCAATCTTGTTAGATTAGAAGTTTTTGATTTCTAAATTCTGTTGCAATATCTGAAATAGTTTTGATCATGACTGTTCTGTTTGTTCTGTAACTGTAAAAACAGGCAGTGAAAAGGATGTATTACTGTGATTATAGATTAGGAATTAACCATTGTATTGTTAAGTTATAGAACTAGCAGATGTAATACTTAGTCTGTAAGTGAATAGTAGATGGGCTATTGTTCACATTCCTACTTTGTAATTATTTTTCAATCTCTTTTTAGACCTTACATTAACGTTATAATCTTTCTTAATATTAATATTATAGGGAAGTGTTTCGTTTATTTTTTTTAAATTTGGTGCTGCGAGGGAGAGCAGTAAAGCATGTGATAACTTCTTCCTCCTTCTGGACACTGAGGGGGAGAAGGATTTGTCACTCGGCGAATCAATACTCTGCTCATGTCTTACCTTTCTTATCTTTTTTTAATTTATTGTCTGTAAGTTTCGTGTATATTTTTAAAAAAATTGACATGTATCTGCATAAATTAAACAGCTGTATAATGAGTTGGATGTTGACCAAAATGATTCATCGATGATATCACGATCAGCGTTTTATTCATATTTGACTCATTGATTTAACAAATGTTAAAAGCGATATTGTAAACTTTTTCAAATGAATAAATCAGTTTTATAGTCATTTTTAATTCATGTGCTACTTTATTCCTTATCCCTGAAAAATTAATACATGTAAAACAATTTCATAAGTAGATCTCCTTTAAAAGAATTTAAATTTTACCTTTAATTTATACACCATGATAGGAATGTTCATCGACAACCTTCAAATTTCTAACCATTTAGTTATTCTTTTTTTATACTTTTGAAGTTTCAGAACAACTTTTCTATTTCCAAGTATTCATTACTTCTTTATATATGACTTTACTTTTATTATTGTTTTCACATATCTCTTTGTTATTCCCTTTCTTTATGGATAGGTATATTCATAATCAGCTTTAAAAAACTACTATTTAATTAGCAAAATTTTATTTAATATTTATATCTTTTTAAAAAATCATTTTAGAAAGTTGCCTAATTACACAATTTGATTCAGACTTAATTGGATTCAAAAGTGATTCTGTTTGAAAATGAAAAATTTATTTGTGAACGTCACAAGTATAAAGAAGAATAAATTAGTGCTTAGAAATTTGGAGGTTTTCATAGAAAATTCCAATCGCCATACAAAATAAAATAAAAATACTAGCCTTAAAATTAAAAAAAAAGATAAATGTAAAATTACTTTATTTTATAAAGTATAAAAATTTTAATCAGAACTTTTCAGTCTCATATTGTATTCTATGTCTTAAAGCTACAATATCCTGTACTAATGTAGGTATACTTTTATTATTGAAAGGAAAATTTTAATTAATTATCAAGTACTTATTACTTCTGATTCTAGAGAATGTTCATGCATTCTTTATCACTTGAATTCTGTTGTTCAAATTATAATTTTTTTTTCACACTAGCAAGTTATTCATTTTTTTTAAAATTTTGTTTTAACGTTTGAAGATTCTTTCTACTTTTTCTTCTCTTTGATGTAGGAGGATTTTTTCAAGACATGTTGTTTGCTTTTTTCCATCGAATAAGCCCATAAGGCAGAGGGAAGTGAAAAATAAAATAACACAACCTTAATGACCATTCATAACTGTCTGAACTTCCATGGCTGAACTTCATAACTTCCATGGATAACTGCCTGAAAACATTGAATTAGTACGTGCAAAACATTTTTTTTTTTTGTTACTAGAGTACCCTGCTGTCTGCCTAACATTGGACCAACCCCCATTTTACAAATTATACAACTGTTCATTTAATTATATATATGTTGAGCTTCTGTAATCTCCTACTCTCTTAATACAAAATAAAGATTTTCAACCCGAAATTTGTATGGGAGACAATGTAGGAATAATAACCATAGTAGAGTATCACACTCCAGCCTAGAGGACTGTGCTGAAAAGTTGAGCTCCTGTAAACTCCTACTGTCCTTATACTAAATAGAAATTTTCACATTGGTGTCTTCGTTAAGCCCCTCTTTGTTGCTTTGTTTTTATAAAATAAAATGTGAATAAAACTTTTTTATGTAATAGAGAGAAGATTTTCTTGTTTGAAAGAATTCAGTTATTTCACCGTTTCATCTCATGTTGGACAAGAAGTCGTTACCAGATCATATTATTTATATTGCTAGCTAGGTTTTCTATTAGATATAGTAATTGAAAAAAAGTGGTAGATTCTGCATTTAATTTTAAAAAGGGGCTCCAAAAAACCATCGAATTCCTATCGTATCCAATTCTCACAATCCAAAATCCTCCATAAAATCCTTAATGCTCCATACTTTGTCACAAATAAAACCATTCATAAAGACCTTAATGTACCATATGTCGCTGATTTAGCTCGAACCAGATATCTATCATGATAAACTTCAGTCCCATCCAAATCCGCTTATTTCCACTCTTGCTTCTTCCTCGATCCCTGATAATCCTCCTAGGCGTCTGAAAAGGATATGGCCTCGTGATCTTCCTACTTAAAATTATTTAGAGAGTGCTACCACTGGGTAGTATCTCTTCAAGCCTGTACATGCCATTATTTATAATTTGCGCATATTTACTAGTTGTATTTGTATACAGTTGTAAATTTCATTAAATAAACAAAAAAAAATTTTTTTTAAATATATATTTGTAAGCATAATTATTCTGGAAGACAAAAAGGAACTATGTGAAACGATGTTAAGTCCCTGAAAAGGCCAAAAAGAAAACAAAACATTTTTTTACAGGAAAAATATGACATAAAGTGATCGTTTGCGTGTTTTGTTCAGATCATTCACAAAAAAAAATATGGGCCTATGAAAAAAAAAAAATATATTTTTCTATTTTGGGAGCCTAGTGCCCTCAAGCCCCCTCCCATATATCCGCCAGAGCCTTTACTCTACATACATACATCTTCAGCCTTTACTTTACAATCATTCTGAATTCGAAAAAGAAGACTAAAGCTTCTTGAAAAATAACCATGGGAAGGGTACGTCTGTAGGAGCTAAGAAAATTCCTCAAAATAAGTTTATAAATTTAGACGTTTTTAGTTAAAATTAGTTTCCTACTTCTGTAAAAAAATTATGTTCTTTTTTTTTTAGATAAATCTTTCCATCCACTATAACCTTTTCTTTTGGCAAGTTCGTATTACTGGAGTGTTAGGATTACCGAGATTTCACTGTATTGACATTCATATTATGTGTATTATCTGTTCAAAATAAACTGTTAATTAAGGTGAAGCTTATATTCTTTTCAGCGATACCAAATTTGACATTGGTCTTCCTAGATCGACCATATCCCTCACTCCGCATCGTAAGGGTACGGTATTTCCACTGAAGTATCTTGTTAAGGAAAGCCGAGATACAGAAACGGCTATATGGAAAGAGAGAGACAGATGTGAAATATGCTTATCTGATTCGGGACAGTTGTAGTCCTCTCACGTAGGCCTTCTATAAATTCCCACCCTTCCCATCCCGATGCATCGCCGCTCTCGAGAACACCTTACATTTATCATGCTCCGTTTATTGACTCTAGTAAATCTTCCTTAACAGGGTTATTTTCAAACAAAATATTCTGATAAGGGCTGTAAGAACTGATATGTTACAAGAATAAAACAAAATAGACATTTAGCCGCGAATGTTTTTGTTTGAAACAAAAAAACTGTAAGTAGAAGTTTGAGAGAAGAGGAAACTTAATAATTGTCGCGTTCATTATTACTTTATCGCCATCACCAGTAGCGATTTTTTTTTTCAAATAAACGGTAAATAATTTAAAAGAAAAACCTATATATATCTTTTGTAAAGACAATAGATTATAAGTAGAGATAGAGAAGATAGGAACAATAAATCAATAGACATAATTTTCTTATATTTTTTCTTGGTACATGTTTACTTTTTGTAAATGCATTATAATTAAAAAAGAGAATATATAGTTATTGATCAATTATTTAGCTTTGATGCCAGACCAATTTAAACAAATATTACTTTAAAGTATAATTAATTTGGGTTATGTTATTACTTTCACTTACCAATAGTTAAATATAAAATACGAAAGAATTGCATAATTAACTAAAGAAGAAATAAGAGATCGTAACGGATAATAGTTGTAATTGAGGAACCAAATCGATACGCGTGCACCCAAGCTCGCCCGAAAGATTATAAAACTCTTCCATACGTAACATGAACTTGATATAATAAGGACTGCGACAATATTATGTTAATATGCATATACGGTTTTTATAAATGCTACTGTTGGTATTATATAATATTTAATTCTATAGATTACAGCTATGAAATATTAAATTTTGTAATAAAATTTATACTAATGCAAATAAAAAAATCTGGTGCAGGCAACACGCAACTTTCACTTACCCCTCTACTTTCAATAGAAATTATTTCCTGGAAATGTTGGGGTATTCTAAAATTTTTCAAGTGCGTTTTAAACGAAGTTAAAGCTTAAATCTTACTGGTAACAAATCATTGAAATCATTAAAATTACAAAAAGTCTATTTATTATACCGACGGTATGCAATAAAAATCTAGTTTTATAAACCACATAACTTGAGTCTCTTAGCCTTTCAGATGACAGAATGACTAACTCCAATTTCAACATTTTTGAGGAATATCATTTTAGTGATATTTCTATTTGGAAGAGTTGTATATATACAGACAGTGAGCTAGTTGATTCAAGAGTAGGTGATTGCAATGTTGAAGTATAAAACTGTGAACAACTGTATACATTTTTCCACTGGAAAGATCACTAAAATTAGTAATAAAGAATGTTGAAATTGGAGTTAGTTATTCTGGTAACCGAAAGGTTCATATATGCCTTGAGATATTTCCAAGTACATCTGAATATTAACCTATGAATGATTATGGATCGTAGGACTATTAGTTATTAAACTGTTATTTTTCATTGTAAAGTTTACGAAAATGAAATTCCGAGATTTTCATTGCCTGCCATGGATAGCTCAACAGTTGTCACACTAATTTTAAGTGGATAATGTTGGGACTTACGGAACAAACGGAAAAATTATCAGATTATTCACTAATTTAATTTCCTAAAAGGTCACTTGATGATTTTTTGGAATATCATGGAATATGGAACGGCCAATAGAAACCTAATTATTTAAATGTAATATCATATCTAGAATTATTAAACTACATCAAAAGTATTTAAGGTTATAAACAAATCCATGAAATAGCTTTATATTTCATTTCTTCTTTCACACAAGTACAATTAAATAGTACTTTAAACAATGGCATTGGCATGATTCGGTAGATTTTAAATATCTTTTATCAAACTTAGAAAAAAACTTTAAAAGTTGACATTTAATTTCATTTAATTTCCTCGGAAAGATGTGATTTACGTCAAATAATTCTAGTTTTCTGAAATTATTATTTATATTTTTTTCGTCGCTCTGCGTTACCTTCTGCAATTTTATTTATTTAATATTATTTTTTCTAAAATTTTCCGCATTTCAACGATATATTATACGTATACCTTCTGACTGGTATTTTCGGAGATTCATTTTCAATCTGTATAAGCACTTTTCTTTTTTTCTCCAGTTTCCTATCATCATATTCTTTCAAACTTCATATTTAGCAATTTTTTATAGTTAATGTCAATAAAACAGAGTTATTTTTTTTTAATGAACCATATTAAAGGTACTTTAGAGGAAGACGTATACGAACATTAGACATTTAAGCCTTGTAAAGTGACATCAATGGGGATACGACCTAAATGATATTAAAGGCCACTTAATTATACAATGCTTCACCGGGTTTAATCAAAATCGTTAGATCCGTTTTTGAGAAAATTGTAAAAATGTATTTCCCCGTTGATATAAAGTGGCACTTCCGGGAAGCCGATTTTAAGGGAAAAGTTTCTGTAACATCTAAAGCACATACCTATCTTAAATACGTAATATCAGTTTTATACGACTTTTCGTTTTTGAGCAAGACTGTTCACACACACAGATGACTAAATCTAATTTACTCTCCACAAAAAAGTACAGAACGCGCCTAAAGAAGTTTTCAAAAATCTTTCAAAACTTATTAATAAATAAATATTAATACAAACAAAAATCATTGGTACGTATTTGTTTGCCAAATCAATCTCTCTAATATTTAATTTATTTTAATTAATTTTATTTACTTCCCGTTTAGAACAATAATAGGAAAGTCAAAGTGGTTGTCATAAGCAACATTCAGCGAAATCGATAAAAACCTAAAATTCGAAATCGTGAAAAAGTTAATTACATTTGCCGAATACAGGTAACGTAATTCAGTTTTTCTTATTTTTTTTTATTTTATTTTTTTGGGGCGAAGCAGTACTTTTTCCATTCACTACTCCAAGAAGAGAAACAGTTTAGATAAAAGTGGAGATAGTCTTTTGTAAAGATTTTGAAAAATACAAGATGTTATTTCGGTAAAACTAAAGATGCCCACTTTCGGTAGCAAACACCTTAGAAGTACAATGGATATAACGTAAGTTTGTCCACATAATAACAAAATGGTAATTTAAAAAATTACTTATAATATTAATCTGTATTTTTTATTTGAACTTTTTGCTGTGTTGCTATTTTTTTTTCCAAATCAGCATGAAGAGACGAAAGTGAATACTACTCATTTTGAGCCTTCTCCCAACATAATTTTTTTGAAAAATATTATGA